TTATGGAGATACTGAAAAACAGCTTTGTCACCTTTGCTCTACAAATGTAGACAAACATTTGATAGATGTTGCATTTGTTATTCAAGTAGATGCATATTACTTAGCTGAACAAAAGATATGTTTATTAAATGTAGTCTAGTTGATAGTGAATCCTGGTGCCTACAGAGATGTCATTTCTGCCATTATTCTATATCTACAGGCTTTGGAAGACATGCTCACCCTAGCAACTTATATCCAGTACAACACAAAAGCAACAAATGATTGATTGTACACTAGGTTAGGTAGCGAAGTCTGGCGCACAACTCATGGGGGTACTGTTGGTGGGCTTAGCAAGGACGTGCTGCTTCTGGGGTTCTGGCATCGTGCGTCTCTACGGTGATCTGACCGGTTGTCATGGGGACCACCGCACTCCGTTGTATCTATGCTTCACTACACTAATTTTTCACTCCTTTTTGTTTTGGCTCTGTTTGCTCGCAGAAGGCTCTATCTTCAGTGTAATGCAACAGTATTTGGGGTTCTACTGGGTGAAGGGGGGGGGGGCATCCCAGCTCCATATGGAATGTGGGGCTCCTGACAGGAGGGCAGTGGCTGTTTGGGCTCTCAGTGGTGTTCGTTGGGTGAGTATGTTATTTGAACTCCAGCTCTAGGGCCATTCCTGCTGGTATATATGATGAGCAAACCTGACGAGGATTAGTGGTTTGATAATGGATGGATGGATTAGCTTAGTTTGACCGTCAACCAACCTGCTGCTTGAAAACTGATTTTAAATGTATTTATAATGCATGCAGTGGGTTTTTTTTTTTGCCTCATTCTTCCATCCAGCTTTCATTCATCCATCTTCAATAAGGACTTTTCCAGTGAGCTTGGGCCCTATCCCAGCATGCCTAGGGAACAAGGCTGGAGAGCAATTATTTGTCTTCCATAACTGCACCTTAAAGGGGATGCCAGACATCCACAGTCATATATATATATATATATATATATATATATTTGAAGTTTTTGCCCAGATCTGTGCGCATCATTTCCTGCTGGCCACTGACACTCCTTGTCCTCACTCCCCCACTGTAGATCTAGTGTAAGTTTACAAATAAATGTCCATATATTCTGCGGATCTGTCTGCCTACATGAGCAGTGAGTGAGTGATTGCTCTATGCGTGTGTCTGTGTGTTCCCGGTTAACCTCTCCCTCTTACTTTCTGGCTGGTCAGCACTCAGTGAAGCCCCACTTGGCCCTAATAGCATGACCCCAGTGCTGAAGCTCTTCCCTCAGTAGCTTTTTTCTGTGTGTATGGGATGTTAAAGTGGCCTGTCACCGTTCATCATGTTAAAAGACGCTCCATTCACGGAGGGGAAGGCTTTTCGCCTACAGTGAAACGGCGTGATCTTAATTAGTTCCTGACTGGCTCTCATAAAATCTGCAGGGAACGTTTAGGCAGTTCAACTGTTCCATGTGTTGTTTTGAAAGGCCAAAATATGATAAAATGAGTTTCTGAGAAAATGGATGGAAAGTAATGGTCTAAAAAGGCAGTACTTTGGTGAATTGGCAGTCTGCATAGTCCAGAGTCACTCTGACAAATAATTTAGTAGCGTGAAGTGAAATCCAGATGGATATTAGGCTGCAATAATTTTAAGAATCCCTCTCATCATAAACAGGGTAACTGAGCTAACAAATATCAGAATCGCTCATGTAATTTTTAATTAAAGATATAAGATTCAGCTGGTCTGACTTGTTCCCTTTTTCCATTTTCTGGTTTGAATCACAATTTAAATCCGGAGATTTGCAGAGATAATGGATATGGAAAACTTTACTGTATTCTGTCATTCCCCGGTTCTCAGTGTGGGTCTCTGCGATTCCCTTGTGGGGTTTTTGTGTAAGTGCCTTGGTGCTGGGTTCTATTCTTCCTCTGCCGTCTTCCATGGCTTCTCTTCAGACCGCTGGATTTTATGGGATTACAAAGAATTTATACGTGACTTTTGCACCACGGTTAAAAGCCATGTACTGTATGTGCTTCGCCCGTCCTACTGAATGCTGAGCCCTCTTTGTAGACCGTTCCACATACATGGCTGCCAAGACAAGAGAGACTCATAAGACACCCCCCCCCCAGCCCCCACTGCCGAGTTTAAAAGTGAAAAACGATCTTGCCAGTGAAATTTTCATTAAACCGTTAAACGTGAGCCCTCCCGAAATCTTGTCTTGCTGTCTTAATGCAACTTTATCCCATTGTGGCTGTGTGTGGCCAAAAGTCTGGGAGACCATATGATATGTAGGTTGTTGAAAATGTGAATGAAATACTTATAATAAAATAACAGTTGCGTACTACTAAATGTAGTCAATCCATACCTTAATCAAATTGCAACTATACATCTGCCCTCTAGATGCCCAGTTAATATTTTAATCTAAAGCACTCTTTAGACCTGATGGGGATTCATCACTGAACAGTTTCTCAGTTTATGACCAAATACTGTGAACCCAGATGTTTGTATCCGTTGCATTATTTTCACTTAATGGCCAGAGAATAGATAAAGTTATCAAACCTCTAAACGAAAATGTTCTTTATAGAACAATAACCCGGGTCTGGTCTGTTTATTACCAACAAGCTTTTCTTGCTGAAGGATTCTGGTTCACGCTGACACACCATCTGCAGTCATGATGCCGGAACACTGCATGAACCCGTGCTGCGTGTTTACTGGGCTGGCCATGAAGTCTGCAGGCTGCCCAGGACTACCAGTGAATACCGGGCGTTGGCCTGGTGCTCAAACAGCAGCGGTGAGCTCAGCCAAAGGCGTGTTGCCAAGCGACGGAGCCCCATAAGCTCTCAGATCTGTCAGTGCTTGGTGGTCCTACTGGTCATTACAAGAAACTCATACTAAAATAGGAGCCTCACATGAAAATCTCAGGTTTTAATGTCTCTGAATATCCCCTGTGATTCATCCCCTCAAGTCCATAAATTATATTCTGTTCTCTGCATAGCACTTCAGTTTTAGCGAATCACGGTCCTTTGTAACTGTTTGGTATATCGGGTGATTTGTTTGAGTCACGTGACGAGTAGGTATCATACACTGGTTCTTTCGTCCTACCGTTCCGTGGTCTTTTCTCTGACTTCCAGATGTTCTCTCACCACCCCCTTCCCAATCTGTTCCACCGACGACACAGACATGTTGCCTCCCTAAAGAGGAGGTTCCAGCCCATCGGGGTGCAGGCCCTTCGGTCCTGCCGGTCCATGCCTGCAGTATCGCTGTGGTGTGGGAGTGGGGGGGGCGCCGCTTTGCTGATGCTCCTACAGAGGGGTTTGCCCATCTGCTCCACTCTTAGGACACACAGCTGCCTTGCTGCAGAAACAAGGCAGATGGCCAATTTCTGCAAAATGTTCTGAAATGTCAGCCTGGCTCACAGTTATATAGTGCAGTGCACATTGTCAGTAGAATTTGCAGGGCTTGTGACAGGATCAATGCGTTCAGTTTTATGGTACCATGTTACTGCTTTTGAGTGGGTGATAATGCTGAACTGAATAGGCTTAAGGAAATAGGATTCAATCCTTTGAATTACATTACTGCTGCATTTAAATAGGCTTTTTATCATTAAGCTTCTTGTATGTAAAATGTTACATTTATGTATTTAAATATCCCAATGGCCAGTGGTTTCCCCAGTTTCTCTAAATTATATCAAATAAGAAATGCAAAAAAGATTCTTGTGCTCATCTTATTCTGATAGGCTGTGAGACTACCTGCATTTGGTTGTATTTTGGCATTGGTTTGCAGTGAAAATTGCACTCGGCACATTAACATGGAGTTTCCATATAAATGAAGGAAAGCGCTGAGTTTTACATGCTGACGGTTGGCATGGCAGTGCCTTGTGGCAGCCGGGACCTTTCCCAGGCTGGCACCGGGACAGTGAGAGGGCTGTGTGATCATCTGTTCTGTTGGGCCTTGTTTTTGTCTGTTACCATGACGTCCACTGTCCAAAGACAACAGCTAATACCGGAATGAATGTTATGCATTCTTTAGAGGAAAATAAAACAGGAAGAGGAAACGGGGAAGTACCAAGCCCTTAAGGGAAACATAATTTAGCTAAATCAAGGGTTACAGCTAGTAAAACTAAACTACATCCTCTCTTCAGAGAAAAAACACTTTACCCATGTACCACCCTTTTAGATTACTATTGTTTTCGCGGATTTTATTCTGAAGTTGTATCCATACTTAAATTATTCCTGTTAAGTGCTTATATTCACTTTTACGACTAACTGCATAAACTGATTTTAAAGTCCTGTGACTGGGTGAAAATAGGTACCTTATCCAGGAACAACCTAAGCGAAACAGTTTGCTATAATCGTAAAATATGTGTGAAGGAGTCTGTCATTCTCTACTCAGTATATAAAAAACAATGAAATTGGAATCAGACTCCTACAATGAGAGAAACTGTTTCCCTGTTACTATAAAATGATTTCTGGAATTAATTATGTTTCTAGCCATTGACTGAATAACCGTAAGTTCCGGCAGTAGGAACCGCAGCTAAAGAAAATGTCACAAAATTGCGCCGCCTATGGTGAAAATGAAATCTTTCTTTTCTCAATTCTTAAAGCAGCTGTGATATGAATTATATCACCGTTGATGTATGACCGGATCTGTTTTGGGCTTCTATTGTCCTTCTGCCTTTTGGAAATACTAAAAGGGAGAAGTCTCATTTCCATCTGTTTTAAAAAACGTAACAAAGCATCAATGTTGTGTGTCTTTTCACCCCGGAGAACTGCCAAGGAGCATTCCATTGGGCGACTGCTCTGTTTCATTTCAGGGAAATATCAAACCTAGAACCAGACTAACTGGGCTGATTACAGAGGGGGACCTTAGCCAATCAGCCCAAACTACCAGATGACAATACGTGAATAAAGACAATACGTCTACATCAGCAGTCTCTGTTGGATGTCGCAGCGACAGGCTGGACAGCTGTACTTTGGCTCGAACGAACAGGTTAGTAAGTAAGAGGAAAGAGTTTAAGAGGAACCATTCGAAATTCAAGACTGATGTTTTATTCAAAAGAATAAAATAAAATAATGGAAATTTGGCTATAGGTGCGAAGCTCAGAGAAACTATCCTGAAATATCGGGACACGTTTGGAACGCTTGAAGCCATTATTTCATATTAATATAAGGTAGTGGGCTTCCAAAAAGGAGGACATTTAGTTTGAGGTTTGGATTTGCTTGAATGCTGCCTTCTGTCAGTTTCAAATAATCCAGTCTCTCCAAGGTAATCTGCAGGAAGAAAAAAACCTTCCATCAACGTTAATGTCACAACGTTGTGTACCAAGTGTCTGTACAGGAAGGAAGCAAATCTGGAGGAGCAACATTTGTCCTTCATTGCCGATTTCCTGTGCAATTACACTGCCTTTCAGGCTGTTTTATATTTGTCTGTTCGGAGAAAATTCACACCCCAGACAATACTGCTGGACAAAGGTTAACTTAGACCTGCATGATGTTGTATGCATGTGGATAAAGTTGAGAGCAGAAAAATGTAAGCTCTTTTAAAGTTACCAAAAGCAAAAAAGGCTCTGTAAAGTTAGCCTATCAATAATTGAGGCTTCCTGGAGGCACTTGGACATCTGCTTAAGCATTGCCTTGTTTTCATACAGCGTTTCACATTTTACAGTTAAGCTCATCATGCTCACCATCGCTACACTTTACTTGAATGTGTGGCTTTCAGTTCCTCCTCGGCCAAATCCTGTGGGAAGGAAAAGACTTAAGTAGCGCACAAGATGGCCACATGTGTGAAAGGCACAAGATGTCCTGGGATTGAGTGGGAAGGGCCACCCCAATGAAGAATGCAGGTCTTCTAATCTGATTTTAAGGCAACAGACTTTCCGTCTGGGGGACACGTGACGGCTGCCCAGCTCGCTGTGGCAACTGTTACCATAGCAACTGTTACCGTGACATAATGTTTCCACACATTTTATATCCAAAGTCCTTTTATGGTCAGACCTCAAAAAAAAAAAAAAAACTATAGGCCCAGCTCAAGATAACTGGGTGCTGTGGGATTGGCCATAACTCTTGTCCTTGTTGACACCCATTGGTCAATAAATAAATCACATTAAAATGGTTCAGTGACTGAACTGGACACTGGCCGCATGAGATTTCCCTAATGGCTAACAGGCCTTAGCTTCAATGATAGGAATAATAAGGGGATCACACAGACACCCACCAAGGATCAGGATCTGTGGGCAGATTCAGGTTATTAACAGAGCCTATCTGTCCTGATGGATGCCCCGTGTTGGAGCAAATAGATTTATAGATGCGAAATCATGGGAAAAAATTATGCCACGGGTATGTCATTGTCACAGTCTGTCCTCATGACGGTAGGTAATGAGGTCACACTCCATCCTCCTGTCTGTTCTTGGAGAGAACAGTGGTTCCATCCCATCGGTCTTTCAGCACCACTGTGCAGTGTATGATACCAGCTGGATGTGGTAGGTTTAAGCTCACAAATGTGGGTCTCATTGCACCTCCAGTTGTGTTGTTTTACTAGATGTGTAAAAGTGTAATTACTCACCTTTGGGTCCGAAAAGGGCAGCGTAGCAAGGATTGTTGCAGTAAGGCTTTCCATTGTGCTAGAAAAGAACAACACTGAAATGTCATGAAGGCTCTATTTTCCATCCATCCATCCATCCATCCATCTTACATGGCCTCTTATCCAGCCGAGGGTGACAGTGCTTATAACGTACTACTGTCAAATATACTTAAAACATGGGCCTTTTTCCAAAGTCAACTTTTTAATTGATATTCCAAGCCAGTGGGTCTGCTGCAGAGAAACTGAGGAGACTGATGACCACCATCTATTCCTTCACCTTCATGGTGAGTGAAACAAGGCGACGGCCACCACTGATGTCACCCTGTCACTCAGCTGAAGAGAGTCAACAGCAAGGCGTCTGTCTGAGGATTTATTGCGCGGCCCCTCCCCCGTCACCCACCTCAGAGTGCGAGCCAGCGGACAGGGTCTTGTTGCATTTCTCGCACTTCAGGCACGGTCTGTGCCAGTCCTTCCCCAGAGAGGTTACCCTCTCGGCTGAGGGATAACGGGGGAGCGGGCAAGTGAGAAAGAGAGAAAAAGACCAGGGGTTTGAGCATAAGCCCCATCACCATGACAGGCACATGCGTAGTCCCTCCCTGATCCACTGCATTCGGCCCTCCTACAGTGCATGGTAATCTACAGGCTCACTGCGGTTACAGAACCAGGCTTTCCTCTTCTAAAGCACATAACTTCTAATGTTTCACTTCAATATTGCACTTAGAAATCTAATTAAAGTTAAAAGCCATTCCCAGAAAACACAAGCATGGTGTGACCTAGAAATCTCTCTGCAAGTTAAAGGGCTTCTTTACATCTGTCTTTTGGCTTTGTGGTGCAGTTTGTCATTTATGCAGTGCAATATTTCTGGGTGTGGTCCCTGGTCAGCGGAGAGGCCCAGAGAAGGTATGTCCGGCTGTAAAAATGATAAACGCAACGCAATATTAGTTTAATGATGTGGTTACAGTTATCTGACATTTTATTTTAAAAAACTATTCATATTTATCTAGAGTATTTTTCAGTTTTCCTGTTACATAGTGTGTGTGTGTGTGTGTGTGTTACTAAAGAAATTCATGTTATGCAACATTATAGGTACAATAAATTTGTCTTGACTTGGATGTCCTCACAGCTAAACTCTTCATAAGCTGGAGCATCGATTAGCTCTTGGTAAATGAATAACCAGTTTTCATGGACATCTGAGTGAAATCTAGAGACTGACGGCTGGACACCTTGGACATGCCCTCCCCTCCCTGACACCCGGCTTTTCGTGGTGGGACACCCCAGGCTCCCTCCAGCTTGCAGCACGTAGACTTTCTGGCTGACTGAAAATCAACTCATCTACGCCTACAACCCTCTACTGGATAAGCTGTGGGTGACTGAATGAACTCATCTGCTAGAAAGATTTATGTGTTCAATGCTGTTATACAGCTTTTACAGCCAGAAATTTGTGGAGATGCCTTAGCTAGAGGCTGACGCCCTTCCCGCACCCAATCCCCTTGCTCTGATGGAATTTGTGACACATAGAGATCACCCCAATAGCAGCAGCAGAGTTTGAGTATCTCCCGTGCTGTTTTTACCCTTCACCTGAATTTAGAACCTGTACATAATGCCCTCTGCCGGTACTACGCAGTGTATCAACAGGTTCCAAAAGTGGGTCAGGTACCACGACAGTTTTTAGTATTGCACTGAATCAAAAGACAACACGATCCGAAAGTTTAAACATACCCAGTAACTCCGGATTAATGTTCTATCTAATAAATAAATCCTGCGAGGCTGCGTTAGTTGCACGTTTATCTCGGTTTGGTGACATTTGATAGAAGGCTTATAGATCTTGACGACTATGATGATGACTTCATTAATGACTATCTTAAGTCATTTACCTGCGGCATCGCCGTAAAGGTGTTCATATCCGTCACAATAGACGTGTTTGAGATTTACTGCTTTTCACGATGGAAAGACCTTTGAAATTTTGCTTGGCAAACGGTGCGATAACGAAGAAGCGGCAGAGCTGCATGTCGCGCCTTACTTCGGAAAAAAGGCGGTGGTGAATTTTCTTACTAACAATAATTTTTTTTTTCAGCATTCTGCTCCAAACTAATGAAAAAGAGCAACTTTTGCATTTATATGTTGCATTATAAAATCTATATGATTTTATTTTTAGTTATTTACATTTTTCTCTAGAGGACAGATGTTTCCAAAACCCATCAAACTCATCCTCCGTAGACACTAGGTAGATTTCAATTCATTAATGATTGTTCCCACAACAATTTGGGCGCTTTTTTACAAGTTTTTTGTAAAGCAATTTTATTACGACGCAAATAAGTCAGATTCTTTCATAAATGTATTTAAGCTTATTTAAACCACATATACTTAAGACATAGTAAGCATAGTAGCCAAAATTTCAGGCATTATTATAAAATGCGATCAGTTACTATGGTGTAAATATTATTTATGTGATAAATACATACAGAAAATGTAGAAAATATAGATGACCTTACCAAAGTAGACTTCCTTTTCGCATTTGGGGCACTTAGGCATGTTTGTATGGTTTTCCAAAGAGATAGAAGCTCTCCTTTGATTTAAACGAACAGGAAGCTACTCGTCAGTGCAACCTGTGTAACTACGGGGGCTCCAGCGAAACTCTAAGAATGACTGTGCGGAGCGAGGGATAATACTTATTTATAGGCTATCGCTATGGGCTGTCAGTAGGAACCAAGAGGAAAACCCAAACTCTGTGTGTGTGTGTGTGTGTGTGCGTGTGTGTGTGTGTGTGCGTGTACTCGCGTTTTCTTTATATTGTGGAACTTTGGAAAAAGTTTGGAAACTTTTTAATATAAACTTTTTGAGGACGCCCCTAGGAGATAAATGTCTATTTTCTAAGTAAGAAATATTTAACTAAAACTATAACAGCGGCCAAAAAATAGGTCAGCGTCATATGCTTATTAGTTTAGATTGGATGGAGTTATGAATATAATTACTTTATGTCATATTAAAACTTATAAGACATTATTCATTGCAGTGAGAGTAAATCCCCCTGTTTGTTCTGTGATTTCCATAAAGTGTATCTCAGAAAATCCCTCCTGGGATTTTTATGGACCACGGAGTTTACAGAAAATGGCGCGATAAACAAGAAAAATGAGCTAAGTGGCAATTAATTTGTTAAGAACACCTGGTCGCTAAGTGAAGTCAGAGGAGAATGGCCAGACTGGTCAGGGCTAACAGAAAGACCACAATCGCAAAAACAGCTCAATACAGAAAAGAAAGACCCTTCTGAACCCAGAGGAAAAGGGGGGCTGCCTGATACTGTAGTGGGTTGTCTGCTTCATGTGCAATATACTTAAGTGAAAATTTAAATATCAGTCTGGATCATTTTGGGGTGTGTGATCACATGAAAATAACAATCATGGTGGTGTGACATCATTACTCAGAGTACAGGGCTGAGCAGAGAAAGATAAAAAAAAAACCTCAGGAGGAAGAATTTATGATCTTCAAAGTCCACAGGGTTAGGGTGCGCTGGTGTTCAGTTAACCTCATTTTTCATTATTCTGAGAATTATTCACCTAAACGAGACGCCTGGTGCAAATCAGTCACTAATGGGCCGGTAATTCTGCATAAACAGGTTTTCCCTCCAGACAGGTGCGAACAGACAGGTGTGAGAGTTTTACAGCCACTGAATTATGCTGGGGATGGCAAGTGGAGTGTTGAGATTGGGTGAAACCAACACAATCTGTGCTCCTAAAGCACAGTAGTTTCTTCTACCACGTCAAAATAACTTTGTGGCCATTACATACTATGGGCTGCTATGTCATTCTAAATTTTAAAAAAAGCGGTATTCTTTCTTAATAAGGTATCACTGCCTTCCTTTTATCCTTTTATTCTCACTCTGCTTGTCTGACATAATTGTATGAGTATCAAAAGACTGACAAGGAGTGAAGTTATTCAACAAACTATTAAACAAGTAATGGAGGGAGGGGTTTTAGGGTGCCTGAGTACTCACCCTGCATCCATGTGTGTGCTGTCTCAAGGTCTGTGTGACAAAGTGTAGGAGGACACAAAAACAGCTTTCTGGACACTGGAATAGACGGAGACAGAAAAGGCTTGAGTGATTTCTCAATAACTGCAAATAGCAAGCAGTGTCAAAAATCGCAGCTCTTGCGATGGATTAATGTCAAATGTTCCTTTGCTGATAAACCAGTATGACAAAACAAACCTGTTGGTCCAATGATTTTTTTCCCCCACTTTTACTGTATAGCTACTTTTGCTAATAGCACTGATTGAGGAATATGCCCTATAAAGGAGAAAACACACAGGGAAGCTGGAGAGAAGATCTGAACGATACAAGGAGAATCATACAAAAGTTTTTTTTTTTGGGATCCTGGTTTTGTTGCTATGGCTCCAGAATTATTAGTGAGTTTCATTTGTTGGCGGTTTTAACCCTGGAATAGCATTGATCAGCTAATAAAATTCTTGATTTCTTCTGGGAAAAAAAAGGTGGGAGAATGTCAAGAACGATTTTTGTGAAATTCTGGAACTAAGTTATTATTCCATTAATCTAAAGCCATGTTTTCAAAGTGATCAAATTCTGCTGGTGGAGACATTCCACCTGCTCTTCTATTATGTAATACTGGGTTTGTTGTATTCTTGATGGCCAACTCATAGATTACCAGTCAGACCTTATTCTCCTACCCATTTGACATTTGCTGGGCTTCTGAGAAATGCCAAACTGGAAGTGTTTCAAAACCTTTTTGAACTACAAAAACTACACCTCTGTGACCTGAGTTCAAGTCTCCCTCATAGCTGGAGTGTGGAGTTTGCATGTTCTCTCCATGTCATCATGGTGTTTCCTCTGGATCCTCATGCAATGCAGTGTGTCATGCAGTGTGTTGGCAACCAATCCTGGGTTGTTCCCTGCTTTGTTCCCATATCCACCAAGATAGGCTCCAAACACCTGTGTTCCTCTGAATAGGACGAGTGGCTACAGAGGATGGATGGATGATCCTGCACAGTGATGTTAGTCTGCAAACACTCATTAAATACCCAAAGATGGGAGCAGATATCCAGATCCTTAGTCAGCATAGGGATGTCAACAGATCAATGGCAAAAGCAAGCAATGCAAAGGACACTGAACAGCTGAGACAACAGAGACAACACCCCTCCTCCCCATTAATGCAGAACGAAGATTATATGGTGTTTCTCAATAGCCAGGAAATAATGCCCTGGCACCTTCCCACATAATTATCGAGGATCAATAGACTATATTTTTGTTAGAGTCACAGGACAAATATAGCCTATCCCAGTATTACTCAATGTCTTATTGACATTCTCCCTGTCTGTGGTCTGTGGAAGTTTCTGGAGCATCTCCACCAGAACCTCAGCTCATGTATGGCCATAGCTAAACTAAAGGCTAAACTTTCTTAAACAGACAGATTACTGTACACAGCAAGCCGCCTCACCGCTTGTATGAGTGTAGGTATACAGTCATCCTCATATGAAACCCACTGAATATGTAAGCTCACGGCCTGACATCAGTTAAACCCCCCGATTCTGTCCCCACCGCAGATTTCAGCAGAGGTCCCATGAGGCTGAGCCAGATGCTATATTCATAGAATCTAAAACCCTCCCGATCTGTTTTGTAAACCATAATTTCTTTAAAGTACTGGATCCAGAAGTTGATGTGCTCCAGTTCTTAGGTGAGTGTTCAGCTAGGACCTGGCAACCCTAATGTATATCTAGGAGGCTCTGCCTTCGCCAGTGCCTGATTTTCTTGAACGCCGTTGACCTTTTCCTTTTTTGTGATTTTCCCTTCCCAGAGGGAGCTGGCACTGGATCCTGAGGGCACATGTTGGACCTTTCATTTTTCGGTCTGGAACCAAAGCTCTGTTTGCGTGAGTTGGCTGGGTGGGAGGTTGGGAAGCTCTCGTCCCATTCTCGCTGTCATTGCATAGCTGGGTAACCACTCCAAACACGGTCGGCCTGCTGCAGTGGGATGAGGCAGGCAGAGCCAGTGGTCTGGAGGCTCATTATAACACATTAGCCAGCAGTTGCTTCAGCTGGTTATGTAATCAGAGAACCGATCCCTTCATCCTGTATTCATAACTGACACATATATTCTTCACTTAATTCCTTCTGTGCTTCATCCTCCTTTTGAAACAAACTGCCATAACAAATTGTTGCAAAGCATTCTGGGATGCTATCACAATTTCAGAAGTATGAGATTGTAAGCCTTGATGATTGCCATGAATATAAGTTTGTGATGATATAGGATAAGATGGCAGGGTATTGTTTTACACAAGGCCTGGCTTTTTTGGGTCGTGGCAGAACAAGGTGCTTCGGTCGATGTTCTATAAGTGTAAAGTGTTTGTTAATATGGACTCCATTATACGGTGGGGAGGAGCAAACAGGGGGAGCGGAGATGAGGGTGAGTTTGTTAATCTTTAATAAGCAGCAGCAAGGGAGGAGAAGGTCACGGTCCAGCAGCACAGGAATTAGCCTGCAGCTGTGGTGACGCTCAGCCTCATTAGAAACCCTCTTTGTGGGCTTTAAGTGGCAAGGATCTTAAAAAGGGATATATGCTAGAGAGGAACCCTTTTTGAACGGAATACCCCAAGTCCAAAATTAACTCTAATCCTTCTAAATGGTCAACTTAAATCCCGTTTTGTCTTGATTTATTCCATCCATCGTCCAAACCCATACCGTTGACCCTGGGGCTTATGCCAAAGTTGGGGTCCACCCTGGACAGGATGCTAGTCCACCACAGGGCATATACACATACACAGTATGGACAATTTAGAGATGGCAGCTGCATGTCTTTGGACTGTGGGAGGGCGTGGGAGTACCTGGAGGAGTCCCACGTGACACGGGAAGAACTCGCAAACTCCACATGCGCCAACTCGAGGCAGGACACGAACCCCGAGCCGCAGAGGCGTGAAGCCGTGAACCAGCACTGCTCTCCTTATTGATTTATCCATCCAGTAAATATGGACAGAAAAAAAGCTGAATGTAGCTCTTGTTTGGAAGATGTGGAATGACGAGTTGCATGATGAAAGTTAGGAAGGGGGAGTAGTCTACTCTGAAGAACGAGATGGAAAAAGCATTTAGTCGGCACAGACACAGGATAGCTTTGTATTTGTGAGCGAGGCCTGGACCCCGTCCCAGAAACCAGAAACTGAGCTAGAACCCCCACTATTCCGGATAAATGGGCGTGTAGCTACAGATGTCTTCAGAAGATTCCTGGTAGCTCATGATGAAATGACACCACAGCATCTGTTTCAGTCAGGGCTGTGTGTAGTTCCATAGTTTTGGATCTGTGCCAGCGTCCGAAAGGTTGTATGTCTGAATCGGGAAGCCAACAAAGTAATCAAACTACCCCGGGGCCTTTAATCTCAGCTGTTCCTGGGTAGCTGGCTGACCATGCTCTCTGACCTCAGCCTTTCCAAGCTTCAGACAAACGTATCTGCTAAAAAAAAAAAAACGTCTAGATGTCTGATTTCCATTTAACAGGTAGAGTATGACCATTCTGTCATGTTATTTATGGGTTTATAAACATAGGGGGAAAAATGAGGTCTTACAAAAAGCTATCCATTGAAATAGAATGACAGAAAGTTAATGTCCCAGGGAGCGACAGCCACTGTTTGTCACACCTCTCCCCGGTTTACTAATCAGGTACTTGAGCCCGCTGTGGGCTTGGTTCAGTTAGACCC